GACACTCAGTGGCAACTCATTCCACAGTCGTGGACCTGCAACAGAGAAAGCCCTGTCACCCCTGAGCTTACGACGGGTTTCTGGGACTGAGAGAAGCATCTGGTCTGCTGACCTCAGAGAGCGCGGTGGGACATATGGCTGCAGAAGATCAGTGAGATAGGATGGGGCGGAACTGTTCAGTGATTTAAAAACATACATGAGAATTTTGAAATGGATCCGAAGGTGAATGGGTAGCCAGTGCAGGGAGGCCAAAACTGGCGTGATGTGCTCTCTATAGCCTGTACCAGTTAAAAATCGGGCTGCAGCATTTTGGACCAGTTGTAGACGTGCAATGGAGGACTGACTGATTCCAAACAGAAGTGAATTGCAGTAATCAAGCCTAGATGTTATGAAGGCGTGGATCACTGTCTCGAGGTTCTTTTTGTTGAGTATAGGCTTCAGCTTAGACAGCCGTCTCAGCTGAAAAAAACAGGATTTGACCATCATGTTTACGTGACTGTTGAGTTTTAAGGACGGGTCCATTATCACCCCCAGATTAGTCACCTTTTGTTTCTCTAGCGGGGCTAGAGAGAAAAGGTCAATGTCATGGTTCATGAGTGAGCCACTGGGATGGAACAGCATGACTTCAGACTTCTTCTCATTGAAGCTTAAGAAGTTTAAAGCCATCCAGTCCCGGGTGTCAGCCAGGCAGTCAAGAAGAGGCTGAATAGAGCGTGTGCCTCTGTGCCTCAGGGGGAAGTAAATTTGGCAATCATCGGCGTAGAAATGAAAGGGTATGTCGTGTTTGCGGAAGATAGCACCTAGTGGCAGCAGGTATAAAGAAAAGAGAAGGGGACCGAGGATGGACCCCTGTGGTACCCCCCACTGGAGCGCTGTCGATGCCGAACTAAAATCTTTGATATTGACACAGAAGGTTCTGTCAGAGAGGTAGGACCCAAACCATTTAAGGGCTGACCCTGTGATGCCCACCCACTGCTCCAGTCTAGAAATGAGGATCTTGTGGTCGATGGTGTCGACCACAAGATCCTCAGCCTGTCCTTCCTCCACCTTCGTTCAGCTCTGCGACACTGCTGCCTAACGGCTCGCGTGACGTCATTCAGCCAAGGCTCTGATTTAAGTTTCGTTTTTCTGGTCTTAAGGGGAGCAACACGGTCCAGAACATTTAAACAGGCAGAGTTGAACTGAGAGGTTAGCTCCTCAGTGGTAAGAGACACCGGGAACTGTTTGATCCTCTCAGAATTAAAACCTTCATTAAAACGAGCAGCAGTGAAATGGTTAATGGAAGGCGTACGTGCAGGAACGCACGTCTTAGCAGTAGGAAAAGGGGGGGGTGAGGTCAAACAATACAGGCATGTGATCTGAAAAAACATTGTCACCGATTTTCAAATTAGAAACAGAGACATCGCGTGTTAAAACGAGGTCCAGCATGTGACCATGTTCCTGGGTGGGGCCGCTCACCTGCTGAGCTAAGCCAAAAGAGTCCAATAAATCCAGAAAGTCCTTCACTAAGGGCTTCTCCTGACAACACACATGCAAATTAAAGTCACCAATAAGCAAAAAGTGAGTGTATCTCTGTGTGATATCAGCCAAAAAGTCAGAGAATTCATTTATGAAGTCCTTAGAACGAGGTGGGCGATAGACGAGCGCACACAGGACCGGAGGAGAGTGTCCAAGTTCAAAGGCGCTCAGCTCGAAGCTGGCGCGGGACACCGGGATGGACAACTATTTACAGGCCAAGTTTGCTTTAAAAACTGTTAATAATCCCCCCCCCCCCCCCCGCGCCGACCTGATGGCCGCGGGGCATTAAAACACAGACAGTCCGTAGGTAGTAATTCCACCAAGGCGCTGGACTCACCATCAGAAATCCAAGATTCTGTGACGAACAGAAAATCCAACTCCTCATCTTTAAAAAAAGTAATTGAAGATAAACGTCTTGTTGGAAACAGACCTTGCGTTGATTAAACACATCCTGATATTGTCCAACACAGGCACAGCCATGGAAGGAGACGTGCGCGCCAGCGGGCGCAGGTTATGAAGAACAGCTCCTCCTGGTCTGCTGGTGCAGCGCACAGGTAAACAACTCCAGGTGTTTCCATGGACTGAGCGCGCGGGCAGCTGGCCAGCAGCCGGGCCCCGGGAGCACCACGGGTCAGAGAGGAGATGATCAGATCCAGAGCGAGTCCTGATAGAATAATCCACACTTTGCCTCAGTTTCACCAAAATCCCTGCACGCTTCCCACGACGTCTGCGACGTTTCCACCATGGAGAAAGGCCAGGGTCACGCAGAAGGAACGCAGGAATCTCAGATAGGACCGGTGGAGGAGAGTGCTGGCCGCTGTTCAAAAACTCAGCGGGAATTTCAGCAAATGTACGGAGCTCCAAAAGTGTCCGACGATCATACTGAAAATATGACTCGGCACACTGCACAAACCATTGTAAAAATAACAAAAATAAAATACAAGCAGAGAGCGAGAGACGGGCAGCCCTACACACCGGCACCATCTTGGAACTGTCAGGAGAGAATTAAAATCAGGTCCAGCGTGGCTGCGGGAGGGTCAGGAGATGGGAGCCTGCAACGAAGTGAAGATTCGAGTCTGCTGCTTCCTTAGATAGAGAACTTTACTAACTGTCTTTTCTATGTATGTGAATGTTCCTGTAAAGTCCCTGAGACAACTTTGTTGTGATTTGGTGCTTTATGAATAAACTGAATTGAATTGAATTGAGATTTCCTGGTGGTCTGGTCTGATGTGTGGGCTGCAGGACCAGCTCTCCCTGTTTTTTTGTTATTTTTTAGAACTTTTTATTAACAACATATAAACACAGAACACCGCTGCTCCTGGGCTGCCAGCTCTTTTTTTGGTGACCTGTCAATCAACCCAGTAGGCGTGTCAACAAATGACAAATCGGTGACCTCAATTTGTCCCGAAGGTAAACGCCCCTTGCCTGCAGAGCTGACTGCAGCCGCTCAGGGTGGACGCTCGGGTACGAAGTCTCAACCCTCAGTGGACAGTGCGCACAGTTTCCGCACGCACTGAGGTCCGCCCGAGTCCGTGGGAGCCTTGAAAACTGAAACCTGAAGACATTTGTTTTCTACGGAGAAGACTGAGTGGAGCCTCTCTACAGATCTCCTGGGCTGAGTAAAGTATGTTTGGAGAACTGATCATGCTGAAGGGCAGAGGGCAAACGTTACCTTACGTATTGTTGTTGTTGTTGTTTACATTAATATGATGTTTTAGAAAAATTATTTTTTTATAAGCCTGAAAGTTAAACTGGTACCTACAATATATTTCTAGCACTTAGCCCCTGGACAAAAGTTTAGCCCTTTTCTCAAAACTCTATGACAGACATCTCAACTGGCAAGATGTTAACAATAGGAAGTATTCAGATTGTTCATTCGCTCATTCATTCGTTCATTCGTTCATTCGTTCATTCATTCGTTCATTCGTTCATTCGGTCATTCGTTCATTCGCTCATTCATTCATTCGTTCATTCGCTCATTCATTCGTTCATTCGCTCATTCATTCGTTCATTCGTTCATTCGTTCATTCGCTCATTCATTCGTTCATTCGTTCATTCATTCATTCGTTCATTCGCTCATTCATTCGTTCATTCGCTCATTCATTCGTTCATTCATTCGTTCATTCGTTCATTCATTCATTCGTTCATTCGTTCATTCATTCATTCGCTCATTCATTCATTCATTCGTTCATTCGTTCATTCGCTCATTCATTCGTTCATTCGCTCATTCATTCGTTCATTCGTTCATTCATTCATTCGCTCATTCATTCGTTCATTTGTTCATTCATTCATTCGTTCATTCGTTCATTCATTCGTTCGTTCATTCGTTCATTCGTTCATTCATTCATTCGTTCATTTGTTCATTCGTTCATTCGTTTGTTCATTCGTTCATTTGTTCATTCGTTCATTCGTTCGTTCATTCGTTCATTCGTTCGTTCATTCATTCATTCGTTCATTCGTTCATTCATTCGTTCATTCATTCATTCGTTCATTCGTTCATTTATTCATTCGTTCATTCGTTCATTCATTCATTCGTTCGTTCATTCGTTCATTCGTTCATTCGTTCATTCATTCGTTCATTCATTCATTCGTTCATTCGCTCGTTCATTCGTTCATTCGTTCATTCGCTCATTCATTCGTTCATTCGTTCATTCATTCATTCACCCTTTATTTATAAATTTTAGTCTCATTGAGCCTCAAGGACTCATTTACAAGAGAGACCTGATTTAACAAAGAACACAGCTGAGGTACAGACAACAGTAGACAATCATATAAAATGAAAAGTAAATAGAAGAAATTAAATAAAATTTAAACAAAAACAGCTACATTAAAATGTGATGTTAAAAAAACTCAAATCAGGAACATGTCTGTGTTCTTGCCATAAACTTTGCTGTTGTTTAAAACCACTTAGAGAGGTCAAAGGTCGAGAGCTTCAAGTATTTTTACAAGATATTCCAGGAAACAGGAGCGGAGTAGGAGAAGGTCCTTTTGTCTAGTTCAGTCCTCACTGAGGGAACACTGCAGGTAATGATGTCCTGAGAGCGCACGCTGTAGCTGCACTCACACAGAGACATGTAGGAGGAGATGTATGAAGGCAGCAGACCAGGAAGTGATTTAAAGATGGAAATGTACCAGTGTGAACAACAAAAAAGGTTAAATTGTGTCACCTGGACCAGTTTCTATAAGTGAGAAAAGTTTTGTTCCCCATCCAGAGGACTTCCTCAGTTCCTCAGTCTGCGGCCTGCCAACCAGATCTGTCCCATACGTAGCCTTCACTGCTGTGTTTCGAGCCAACCACCTGTTGGAATCTTAGAAGTGGACTTTTAACATGTGCAAACAGAGCACACCTATTTGAAACCATCAATCAAATGTTTTAGGCTGATTGGCAGGTTGGCAGGCCGCAGACTGATGAAGTCCTCGGGATGGGGTAGGAAGCATTTTTTTCACTTAAAGAAACAGGTCCAGATGACAAGATTTAACCATTTTTGCTTTTATCTACCTGATGAATGAGTTTACAAACTTTTTTAAATTTTACCTCACATTTCTGTAAAAAACAAAAAACATCATTTTTTTCTGTTTGAAAAACTTTAAACACTTAAAACAGTTAGAATGTCTGTCTCACAAACACCAACAGCAGGAGCTGTTTTAGGGGGAAAAACTAACACTCTGCAGACATGCTACAAAAGAAAACCATTTTATGACGATAAAACTAAAAGTGTAAATCACATGAACAGTTTCCTGTTTATCGTGTCTCCTCACCATACACGCAGCCTGGACAGCCTCAGAGAGGATTCCTGCGTCCGGCTCACACCAAAACACGTGACACTCGAACTGCTGCGTGCCGCCGTCAATGATCACAGCAAAGGTGTGACTGTCATGGCCGACGCCCAGGAAGGTGAGAAAGCGGACCTGACACTCCCACAGAGGCTCATCGCCGTCCTGACAGGAGCAGAGCAGGTGGGTTCAAAACAGGAGTGGTGACCCGAGTATCATCGGTGGCAGGTACAGTACCTCCCCTTTCCACAGAGACAGGACTTTATCTGTGACATGGATCACCGTGGGCTCCCAGTCATCCTGGTCTGTTGAGTTCATGATGCTTTCTATGGCTCTGTTTAACACCTCCATACCTGCAGCAAAACACACCTTCATCTGAGTGAATCACACAAAGTCAGAGCTCCGTCCTGTTCTCGTTTTATCTGGATACTCCAGCAAACACTCAATCATCTACAAATGATCAAAGTTCAGTCACGTCATCTGGACGGTTTCTTTTGTTTGTTGAAACGTTTTGTCCTTCATCTAAAGGACTCATCTATGATTGAATTCAGCTTCCAATAGATGAGTCTCCATGAAGATTTGAGATTCCAGTCCTGAACCAAGTCCATCGTTCCAATGATCACCACATTGATCTTTTAAAAATAGACTTCTGTAAAGAGTAAAGCCCCTCACACGGTCCCCTTCACTACCTGTTTCAGTGCTAACAACGATGGTCTACATGTGGTCCACCTCTGGTGGTGACAGGCAGTAGAGACACCAAACACCAAGATGTTGCATTATCAGTGAAACTTGGACTAGTGTCAGGAGGTTTCACAGGACAGCAGATATATCAACCCCACATGAAAGCATGACAATCCTGTTCCAGTCCAACCATGGAACAACCATCCAGGTAGAGGAATCTAACAAAGTTAAGTCACATCTTCTGGAGGATTCTTTTTGTTAAAACGTTTCGTCTTTTATCCAAAAGACTTCTTCAGTCTGACGAGCTGCAATAAATCCAGTCTTATAATTATCACCTTCTCATAGTGGATCAACAGTTTGGTTTAGAATAGAATAGAATAGAATAGAATAGAATAGAATAGAATAGAATAGAATAAAAGTTCCTAAATGTTAATAAACAACACAATATATTAAGAAATAAGATAAACAATATCAATAATAATGTTCAATATGTATTGGAACATTGATAAGGAGAGAGTACTGACAGCACAGTGTTACAGGCAGAGTGTGTGTTTGAGCAGAGGTCAGCATGTATTTAATCCTTGTAGAGTTTGTTGGAGCAGTGATGGTTGTAGAGTCTAACAGCTGCTGGAGGAAGGACCTGCTGGAGGAAGGACCTGCTGGGAGGAAGGACCTGCTGGAGGAAGGACCTGCTGGGAGGAAGGACCTGCTGGAGGAAGGACCTGCTGGAGGAAGGACCTGCTGGGAGGAAGGACCTGCTGGGAGGAAGGACCTGCTGGAGGAAGGACCTGCTGGGAGGAAGGACCTGCTGGAGGAAGGACCTGCTGGGAGGAAGGACCTGCTGGGAGGAAGGACCTGCTGGAGGAAGGACCTGCTGGAGGAAGGACCTGCTGGGAGGAAGGACCTGCTGCAGGAAGGACCTGCTGCAGGAAGGACCTGCTGCAGGAAGGACCTGCTGCAGGAAGGACCTGCGGTGACGCTCCTTTGTGCATTTAGGAGCAGGAACCTGTCACTGAACGAGCTCTCCAGTTCAGCAGCAGCTTCATGGGGTGGAGACGTTGTCCAGCAACGATGTTATTTTAGCTTTAGTTTGACTGACTCAGTGCAGTGGGAATGTGAACCTCACCAGCTGATCATGTAAACAACTGTTCTGAATATTGGTCCCCAAACGAACCGAGTCTCCTCAGGCTGTTGAAGTCTTTTGGATGAAAAATAAAATGTTTCAACAAGAAGAATCCGTCCAGAGGACCTGACTCAACTTGGCTAGATCTTTTATATTTGCTTAAAAGAAACATGATAATAACAACAACTTGCAAAGATTCCACAATGATGCATCCCATAACTTCTCTCTAGGTCCTGCATGTTCTTTGCCTTAGGAGAACCCTGGCCCTGAAGGGAACCCTGGCCCAGAGAGAAAACTCTTCCCAAAGGAAAACTCTGGCACAGAGAAGAACCCTGGCCTTTAATATTGATGGATTCCTGACCAAACATCAGTTAGAAGTGACAATCAAGTTGTCCTGACTAAAACCTCTGAAAGTGAGCTCAGGTGTAACAAGTGTGTCTCTGTCCTTACCCATGGCTCTGGACACAGGCAGGTTCCCGATGTACTGGACCTCAAACTTCTGAACCTGCTGCCGCACTGCCTCCAGAAACTCCACTAGAACAGGAAGATGTAATCAGTACTGGACCAATCATGGACCTGATCAGCTGACCAGTGGGAGGTCAGGTGAGTCACCGTGTCTGGGCAGGTCCTCAGGTGAGATACTGTCCATGGTCAGAGAGTGGGACGGCCTCGTCAGCACCTTCTCAGTCATCATCTGCATAGAAAGAATCAAAACAACGTGTTCGACAGAAATGTACAGCCGTGCCCCCTACTGTATTAAAACTAACACAATGTTGGTTTCCATGGAAACATTGTACTTAAGAACAAGTTTTACAGTGGCTAAAGAAAATTTCTAAATGATAAAAGTTCAAAAAGAAAAGTCCACTCAGAACAACAGAAGGTCAAAACTGTAAGGCAGAAGAAGGAAGGCATTTGGTCTTCAGCTTTCACCTCAATGACCCGGTCACTTCAGCTGTTTGAAATTATTTTTACTTTATTAATTAGTTTATTAATCAAGTCACTTCAGCTGTTTGGACTCGTTGTTTTTTCAATTGGGTCACTTCAGGTATTCCAATTTGCTCACCTTTGAACACATCTCATGGAGTGCTGTGGCGATGGTTTTGGCTGGAGCATTACAGCGAAACACGTGGCACTTCAGCACACAGCTATCCTTATCACTCGCCACAAAGGCAAAGTCCCTGAACGCATCACACACACACACACACACACACACGCACACACACACAGAGCTATCAGACTGGTAGAACAGATGATGATTGGATGGTGAAATTAATAAATCACCCTGATGCTGAGGAAGCTGTGATGTATCTCTATGAGAGTGGAGTTTTACCTGTCCCTACACAGGTGAGGGTGGGCGGGGCAAAGACACAGAAAATGACAGTTAGTGTGATCAACAGGTAAGAAACACAAAAGTGAGTTTAATTTTTACAACTCAGCGTACAGTAACACAGAAACATAAGTGAGTGCTGCTTAGCTTAGCATAAAGACTGGAAACAGCGGGGAAACTGTTAGCATAGCTTTTTCTGCAGTCTGAACCCTCATTCCAAGTGAATTTGATGTTTACAGGTAAAACTAGATTTTAATTATAAACATGTCACATTTGATTATTACCACGCTGATCTCATGTAATCAGAACATCTAAGTAAAAACTTGCTGTGTTGGAATTGTCTTCTCATTCACACATGCTTTTCATCTGACTTTCACCAGGGGTTGTGTATCTAAAAACAATGCTCTGTGATTGGCTGACCGTAAGATACTTTGTGATTGGCTGACCGTAAGATACTTTGTGATTGGCTGACCGTAAGATACTTTGTGATTGGCTGAC